CTGGCCAGTAAGGCTTTGGGGGGCAACAGTTGAAAAGGCACAACCCGCCAACCCTGCTGTGTCACAATTGTTTGTGTGTCCCCCAGCTGCCTGGAGGTGGGTCAGAGGGGGTGACAGGAACTTGAGAAGCCACTGCCTGGCTCTGGATGGGTTTGGATAACTGAAAAATTACAAGAGAGAGGCTCAGCCATCAGATTCAACAGCAATGTTTTGTTTGTTTGTTTGTTTTTTGTAGCTCCTTTCCCCCTTTATAATGGCACAAGGAGTACTTGGCAGTAAGTCACGACTCTAGTAAAAACTTAAAGATCTATTTTATACACATTTTTATTTGATATATTTTACATAATAGATATTATATTTAATATATATATAAACTCATTCAACGTTCATACTAACTCTATAAGTTATATGTTATGGCCCCATTTTCAGATAAGGAAATGAAGTTTAACATCAATAATAAATGACATTGAAAACCATGAGATATGGGAGTGAATATTATTTAGGGTAAGAAAAGAAATCACAAAATTACAAATTTTAAAGAGCTGACGAATATCTTAAATATTTTAAAATCCAGAAAAATAATATAACATTTAAATTAATTAACTACCTAATATTATCTCTGTAAGATTTTTTCTTACACTTAAAAAAATTGTGGTCAAAAATTTTTTTTTTCTTTTTTTTTTCAGCATTGAAGATCAGAGAAACAAAATTTTATATAACATAAAATTTACCATTTTAACCAGTTTTAAGTATACATTCTGTGGCATTAAGTACATCCATATTGTTGTGCAGCCGTCACCACCATCCACCGCTAGCACTTTTTCATCTTTCCAAACTGAAACTCTGTATCCACTAAACAACTTCCCAATGCCCCCTCCCCCAGCCCCTGCTAACCTCCGTTCTACTGTCTTTCTCTATGAATTTGACTACCCTAGCGTACCTCATCTAAGTGGAGTCACACAGTATTTGTCCTCTTATGATTGCCTTATTTCACTTGGCAAAATGCATTCAAGGTTCATCTCTGTTGCTGCATGCTTTTCAAGGCTGCGTAATATTCTGTTGCGTGTATATTCCACATTTTGTTTATCCATTCACCCACTGATGGACGCTTGGATTGCTTCCACCTTTTGACTATTGTGAATAATGCTGCTGTGAATATAAGTATACAAATATCTGTTCAAGCCCTTGCTTTCACTTCTTTGAGTATATACTTTGAAGTGGAGTTCATGGATCATATGGCAATTTTAAGTTTAATTCTTGGAAGAATCACCATGCCATTTTCCATGGTGGCTTCGCCATTTTACATTAACACCAGTAATGCACAAGTGTTCCAAGTTTTCTACCTCCTTGTCAATACTTGTTTTCCTCCTTTTTGATAATAGCCATCCTAATGAATCCAAAGTAGTTCCTACATTTTTTGACTTCATACTTCTTGATACCCTCTTCCTATGTGAATGATTTTGCAATATTTTTCTGTAGAATGAAAATTCAGCATTTTCCTCTAGCATGGTGGTTGGTATTCATAAGATATATGACTTCACAGAGACATACTCACCATGTATAATACTGCTACAGACTTCTATCCTACAAATCCAGAAATCCTGATAAACATTTGATTCTCACAAAAAATAAAAACACTTATGATGCATTCAGTTTATAGTCTTTGCATTATTGAATATATTCCTGAGTGCAGAGAACTTCTGTTTTCACTTCATGTCGTTGAAAACTGACTTCTCTACTAAAAATGCTACACAGGTGCTTAGAAGAATATCCCGTCCTGTGCCCTGATGTAGGGACAGTAGGCAACAGGCAGTGCACACGTTCCTGGAAGCCATGCTTATACCAGGACACCTAGCGATGACAGCTGTCCCAGAAGTGACTGCACACAACACAGATACATCCCACCAACCCCACTGAATGCGTCCCTGCTCAGTTTCCCCTCAGCAGGGTCCCCAAAATGCCTGTGCTCATTCCACACCACCCAATAGAGGGCAGTGTGGCTGGTCTTGTCCTTATTGATCTGTGGGAGAACTTCAAATATTATGGATACAAGACCTTTATCTTTTACTTGTATTACAAATAATGTCCCGAACACTGTGGCTTGCTTTTTCTCTCTTAATTATGTTTTCGACAAACTTAATATATTAATAGTCAATTTAACTGTTTCTTTCATGGCTACTGATTTCAGTGTCCTGTTTAAGAAAAGTTATCTTTATCTTAAGACCAGGAAGATATTTTCCTGTTTTCTTCTAGAAACGTTATTGTTTTACCTTTTGCATTTAGATTATCGAGCCATTTATTACTGATTTTTGTGTATGGTATGAGATGGAGCCAAGATTTCTTTCTTTCTTTTTTTTTTTTTTTTAAGAAATAATGGATAACCAATTGCCCAACACCAGTTATGGAAGCTACCCTTTTCTCTGTCCTCTGAGCTGGACGTTTTGTCATAGACCCAGTGTCTGTGTGAGTAAATATATTTCTGGACTCCTTATTCTGTTTCATTGTCAATTTTCTATCTTTGTGTCAATACTATACTGTCTTCATTATTGTATATTTATAATAAGCCTTGATTTCTGGTAGTGTAGAAACTTTAATTTTATCTTCTTTACAAATGTCTTACCTATTCTTGAATCTTTGTATTTCCATATAAATTTTAGAAGCAGATCATCAGTTTCTCAAAAAAAATAAACAAATAAGTAGCTGGCATTTTGATTAAGATTATATTGAATCTACAGTTCAGCTGGAAAGCAAGTCATTTAGCTTTTCTAAGTCCTACATTCCTCTTCTGAAAAAAAAAAGACAAAAAATGCTTACTGGCAATCATAAGCATTCTGAAATAATGCATTTATAAAGTGAAAAAAAAACTATAGAAATGCTGGATTTTTATTATAAAATGAGAAGAACGCATGGAAAGATTTGGAAAGATTGGAGCAAAATTTGCCTACAATTTTCGTTTGTTTATTTGGCTTTCTTTTTTTTTTTTTAAGTGACAGAGTCTTACTCTATTACCCAGGCTGGAATGCAGTAGTGCTATCACAGCCCACCACAGCCTCCAACTCCTGGGCTCAAGCGACCCTCCAGCCTCAGGCACCTGAATAGCTGGGACTACAGGCACTGGCCACCATGCCCGGCTACCTTTTTTTGCTTTTTGATTTTTTTGTAGAGATGGTGTTTTGCTATGTTACCCAGGTTGTTCTTCAACTCCTGGTTTCAAGTGATTCTCCTACCTCAACCTCCTAGAGTACTGGGATTACAGGTGTGAGCCACTGTGCTAGGCCCCTACAATGGGTTTTTGAAAAGACAAAGAAGCTCTGGAATCTGGTTGCTTGCTGTTGGACCCAGGTGGTCGGGCTGGCTACAAGTCAGGCTGGCTTCCAACTCAGAGGCTGGCGTTCTGGGCGAAGGGAAGAGGGGCTGTGGAGATCTCCCGCATCACCATTCCTATCCAATCTCCACAGGGCACCGTATTCCTTCTGAGGATTGCCCGAGAGCTTGCCTGCTTGCATCTTTTGCTCTGCAGACTGGAAACTGAGCAGGGCACCACGTGTGGTTTATTCTCAAACACGCCCACTGTGTGTCAGGCGTGGTTCTGGGTACATCTACCGTTCCACCTGCTCTGTATAGAACAGCACACCTGGACAGCAGGTGACCAGACCCGCCAATGGGGAAAAGGCTTTGGAGGTTCCCTGGAGCATGTCCTAAGGCCATGTGTGTGTTCCTGTAACCGGGGCATGAATGGGAGACCACCTTCCTTCTCTCCGGGTCAGCCTGTTTAGCAAATGCGAGGGTCTGACACCTCCTCTCTCCACACCCCTGGCCCAGTGGCTTCTCTCCAAGGCTGTCACTGGAATCCCCTCGGCAAATACCCTTTGCCAAACAGGCATCCCCAGGCTGAACCAAAGAGGAGTAAATGTGACCCCACAGTGTTTCCTTTTCACGAGTGGTTCTCTCTCCTTCCTCCAGGTCCTCAGGGAGCCGAGGCGGAGCCCTGGGAGGGACACTGGCGTCCACACAGCGGCCAGCGGCCAGCAGGGCTGTGTGGCTGTTAGGAGAGCCGCAGTGTACTCTCCCCGGTGCCCAGTGAGCCAAAACGGACCTAGGACGTTCCTGTCCTCAGGTCCCCCGGGCTCCCTCATCACCTCTACCCATCCCAGCGCTGACTCGTGAAGGGCAGCAAGCCAGAGAATGAGAGCAGGATGCTGTGTGCCGCTTTCGACCCGGTGCCTGGGGATGTCCCCACCGTGGGCCAGGCGGAGCTGGCTTGGCAAGAGTCCCGCCTGCCTCCAGGTGCCCCAAGGCTGGGTGGAATGTGGGGTTGCGAGGACAGCAGAAGGCGCAGGAAAGGACCGGGGTGTCATTCCTTATCCCAGCTCAGCAGGGCCAGGCCCCTCTGAGGGAGGGTGGCAGAGACACCGGACAGGTGAACCCCCTGAGGACATCTTCAGACACCCCTTCTCACTCCTGGGGGAGAGGGGACAGGCCGAAGCCTGACCCCGGGGACATTCGGATTCCTACCCGTCCTGCGCCCCGCTCCTGTCAGAGCAGCCACCCTGCAGCTGAGGGGAACCAGATGTTGGGAGCCTGCCCAGCTGCTGGCGTGAGGCCTCTCTTAAAAGGCCTGGGTACCTGGCGGTGGGAGGTGGGGAGGAAGGAAGAGAGTGGGAGAAAATTAGACAAAGGAAGACCACCATAAAACCAGCAGCATGCCTGTAATCACGAGAGCCCTTTGTTTAGAGCCGGTTTAAACAAGTTGCGATCCTTTGGAAGGGGAGGCCATAAACCGAAGGGAAAATAAAAGTGTTTACAGCGAGAGAGAGCGAGCCAGGTGCTGCGGACTTGTTTGGCTGGGCTCAAAGGGGGAGCGGGGCTGGGCCTGGCCTGTGATTCTAGAACTGGCTTCCTCTTCATGCCACGGCTCCAACATCACAGACCGGCACACGCCCTCCCCCACCAACTCCAACTCCGGAGCCCAGGGACAATCCCACATTCCAACCTGGGGGGCCAGCAGGGCAGGATGCATCTAGGGACTGTTGCCCATAGCCCTGGGCCACAGGTCTTGCCGGCAGCTTCTCCACTCCCCTGCAAATTCCTTTATAATGGACTTGAGGGGTTTCACTAATAAGAGGGTTTGGGGACAGTTGTTTTTCACAGAAATGCCTCCTAGGCCAGACTTATCAGGCTAGGAAGGTTAGGGTTAGGGACCGTAGGGGACAGGGACGGCATTCCTCAGGGGAGCTGTGTGGGGCCGTGGGGCTGGTGGGGGGAGAGGTGGGTGTTTGAGACCGTGAGGCCGATGGTGGCTGGAACAGACGGGTGCAAAGGACACCGGCTGCCAGCAGAGCCCATACCTTGCCCTACGTTCTGTCCCCTGCTCTGATGGGCAGTGCTGGATCCCTGACCGGACACACGGTGGCTCATTCATTCAGCAAACTTAACCCTTTGCACTCGGATGTCAAGTGTGACTCGACGTGGTTAGCATCGGTAGCAGCAAGACAAAAAAGCAAGCGAGTGCAAAGGGTTAATGGGCCCTTCCTCTAGGCCAGAGGACCAGGGCAGGGGCTAGAGGACAGGTCCTTGTCCTGGAAGTGGGGCAACTTGTGGATAGCTAGCAATGATAATGTTTTCAGGACGTGTAAATGCGTATATACTGGAGTTTGAAAGACCATTAATCCTCCCCAAGAGTATATGTGGCTGCCGTGCAAGGTGACACCTGTGGAGAGTGACAGCATTGAATATGGCTAACGTGACTGCCGTGCACATACCGGAAACGTCCCAGCGTCATCTGCCACTTGTGCTCGGCAGGAAAGGTTGCCAGGCTTCTTTGCAAAAAATCACAGTAATGTCACGTCCATACTGAGAAGGAAAGTGAGTAACCAGAGGCACCTGGAAGGTGTCTCAGGGCCCCCTTTCCCCTTATGGTATTTGCGTGGCTCTTCGGTGTGCAACATCTGTGGCGGTTGGGCAACTATGCGGGGACCTACGAGCGACAAATGTCCAGGTGAAAATGCGTCTTCTGACATTCGTGTACTCGATTCTCGGATCGGCCTCGCCGGTTAAAGAGTTGACCTTTTTTCTGTAGCATGCAATATGCTGTCTTCTTTCGGAGAGCTCAGATAATAAGCAAAGACGTCTGTTCCATCTCTACATTGCTTTTATTTTTCTATCATTTGATTTCAAACGCCCTCTAGTCCAAGCTCAGCCACGCTGGTGACCTCCCTAGGACTGTTTCCTTATGTGTAAAATTAGCTAATTTATGACGTCTGTGCTCCTGCTTAGCTACCTGCAAAGCCAAGCACGTAAGATTCTAGGTGACAAGTGTCCTGGTCGCGTGTACTGGGGGGAACCCGTCCGATTCGCTTTTAGGAAGTACTTTCCGAGCATTTGGTGACATGCACCATTCGTGGGACCCTGGTGTAAAGGACACCGGTCTCTCGGATTCTTTCAGGGCTTGAAGCAAACAGCTCTACACTCCCAAAGCTCAGCTCCCTGGGAGAGAAGCTCCAAGCCCTGTTCTTCCCGTGCTCTGCGAGGTCCAAAAGGTGGTGGCGGCAGGCTTCCCTGATGGCCGGGACCTTGCTGCCTTTGCCCAGACGGTTCCATGGGCCTCCCTGTCACTACTGCGGGGTGAGAGCACTTGTCCTTCCACCGTGAGGCTGAGCCCCGGCTCGAGGTGCCTCTCAGAGGGACGGCTACCCGAGGGGACCCGACCATCAAGAAAACCCGAGGTCAGCTCGCCCAGCTCGGGGAGTGTCGAGAAAGGCGAGTACCTGGAGCTCATCCCCCCGGGGCCTGAACAGGCCACGTTTTTTGAGAGCAGAAAACAGTGCAGGGAGAAGGGTTGAGCTCTGAAGTCAGAGTCGGCTTTCAGTCCCACCTCTGCCACTTAGTAACTGGACAAGTTACCTAACGTGTCTGCACCTCGGTTTCTCATCGCCTCTGTAAAATGAGGATAATTCCCTGTCCAGAATCTTACTATGAGGGTTGCATGCGTTAAGGTAGGTGGAGCTCCTGGCATCATGACTCCTCCCATCCTCCCTCCCTCCCTCCCTTTCTTCCAGTGAAGGAACATTTAGTATCACTCCCCACAAATTCTGAAAAATGAAACACTATCATATCAAAAGTGCCAGATCCAATAAATGAACCCTTCTTGTTTGTTTATGGAACATTTCAGATTCCTTCATCAATGGAATGCAATGTCACTGTCCCATGTATCCGGAGTGGCGTTGGTTTGGGACTGCCCATTCATTCATACGGTGCTCGCCGCATGCTAAGTACCAGAACAGACAATGGAGACATGAAGACGGCCGACGTCGTCCTTAACCATAAGGCAAATGAACACAGACACAGGTGATTTCAAAGGTGCAATGGATTTGGGGAAGACGGGGAGAAGCTGGAGAGAATGGGGTCCCTGGTTAGGTAAGTCTCTGGCTAAAGAGGGCCTTCTATAGAAAATAAACTTTCAAGATACATCAACTAAATATCAAGAAAACTGATTTAATAATAATCAGTAAGGCTTTACTCTGCAAGTTCTCTCGACAAACATTCATGGGTGTCGCCTTGTGAAACTGCACAGGCACGGAGACACAACGCAGAAAGATGCATGAGCAACGACCCGTCCTCCAAGGAGCTTGAATTCGAGTAAGCAAACAATAGACTATCATCAAAGGAGCTGATGTACAAGTGGAGTGCCTCAGAAGCGTAATGAAACGAATGACTTCTCGTTTACAAAGCTCCTAGTTTTTGAGCCACTGAATTATTCCAGGACCGTCCTTCTTTGCAAGTCCACGTTCCTTTCTATGTGTAGGATATTGGGACTACAAAGTTTCTCTTGGATGGGCAACAGCATGTCTTTCTGTGGAGCGTGTTGCAGTAGTGCTTGTCAGAGAAGCAGAGCTCTCTCTGACGGTCGTAACCAGGGAGTGGGCGCAGGGTGGGCAGTTTGGGGGAGAACTTCAGCTGTGGTGAAGGAGATTCAGGATCCAGAGGCATCTTCTCAGACTGGCCACCGTGCCCCCACGTTCTGCATGGACATTTCTTTTCTTGAGGCTCCACTGAGGGTCCCAGCTTGATGGCACTCGGGAGATGGGCCCCAGAAAGAAAGAGGGAGATGAAGAGACCCTGCATTTAGTGAGCAACTACTGTAAGCCGGGCATGATCCCATCGGATGGTGACATGGTCTCTGGTGATGGGTCCCTCTTACGGTAGGGGAAGCTGGGACTTGGAGAAACCCGTCCCTGAGACCCAGCGAGCCCTGGGGTCGAGCCAGCTCCCACCCCAGGCACCGCATTCTTTGCACACCTGTGCTTCCTAAGCCAGCACATTCTGTGCTGCTTGCCACGTGTGCTCAGTGGGGGGCCGTGCTGGGTACCCGGGAAACTCGCTGGCAAATGAAGGGTAGAGTCCAGTCCTCCTCTCTTCATTGTGGCACACCACGTAAACTTCAGTTTTATACTCAGTGAGAGTGACCGTGTCATGGAGTAGAACGCAACGTGCGTGTGGATGGCAAGAATAAAGCATGGTCTTCAAAGCCATCTGAAGCTGGCATCAGTCCGTATCGAGTTGTGTGCCTTCCCTGTACCACAGGGCCTGTGTCATCCACTCTCTGGGCACGGAGCCAGAGCCACCAGTGCTTTGCTTCCGCGCCTTCACATGGCAGGGCATGCACGCGGAGAGCTACTGGCTCCGTGGAGTGACCATTAGCGCAACCAGAGGGGGGGAGCCGCGCAGCCACAGGAGCACTGGGGAGGCGGGTGTGGATGAGTGCGGAGAAGTGGTGGCATCCGGGAGCCCAGCGTCCTGGCAGCGTGCGGATGGCAGAGGCTGGGCTCGCAGAGGACTGCTGGGGAGGAGACGGACCGCTGATGGCAGGTTGGACACAGAGTTGGGATGTCACTGGGGAGGCAGCGGGCGCCATGGCTGGGCCATAGGAGGGGCAAGGGGTTGGGGCATGAGCTCAGAACACGCAGCCAGTTCAAATCGCGGCTCGGCGGCGTTGTAGCCGTGTGATCTTGGGACATCATCACACGGCCTTGGCTTCTGCTTTCCTACGTTAGCGCCTGAGTGCAGCGTGCTGTGAGGCCAGGGAGGGGGTTGGTAGCATCTTGCAGTTCTGGAAGCAGAAGCCGGGCTAACAGCACAGGGAGAGACCGGGAAGGAAGGCGGCTGGGCGTCTGCAGACTTTTTTCTTAATTTAGCCTAAACTATGTGACATGCCATTTACTTGCTTCATATTAGCTTCTAAGTCATGTGCAGTCAGCAACTGTCCCCTCTGCTGGCTGTGCTCTCCAGGCCCTCCAGCGTGTGAAGCTCCGAGGATGGGGAGGAGGGAGAGGAGGATGGGGAGGAGGGAGACAGGGGAGAGGAGTGTGCTGGCACTGTCGCCTGCAGCCACATGTGGAGGGACGGAGCAACAGGAGCACCCAGAATCCAGTCTGGTGCTCCAGTCTTTGAGGCTCTTCACGGCAATTTCTCTGAATCCACTTTTCTGGAAATCTGTACTGTGCATGTTCCAGCTGCAGTAATATCCGCTGCCTTTTTGTTTTGTTTAAAGGAAAAGGTGTAGAAAGAAAAAGAAAAGGGGATGGGCGCTTTGGGCTCCTTGGAAATAGAGCTGTGGTCTTCTGATATGAAGTTACACACAGATGCCGCATCTGGGGTTGGGGGCAGACGTTTATTAAACACTTGTGAGCAGAAGAGTCGTTCCGATTGCATTTCGGGTTCTCAGGGAAACATGCTAAGGAGAAACGGGCATACATGCGGAACACGGGAGAGACTGTACAGGCCCTTGGGTTTGTGCAAAAGACACTTGAACACTTGCCCTGTCGTGGGTGCTTGCGCAGCCCTCCTCTGAGAGCCGGGGTGAGAGGGACCTGGAGGGAGAGGGAAGGGAGGGGGGGAGAAAGGAGGGGAGGAAATGGGAGGGGGGAGGGAAAGTTTGTCAAGGAAGAGGGGAGTGGGGTGTAGGGGGAGTGGGAGGTGGAGAGAGAAAGCACAGTTTCTAGCAGATAAAAACAAAACTGTTTTGTTAGCATCTCTTTATTCTCTGGGCAAGTTTGACCTCCTCTGTAATCTGCTTTGGTATCTAAATGAGGCTTCTCAGCAACTGAGAGATTGCTATCCAGCTATTTAAAGATCCCTTATCTCCTGATGGGAAGATGCTAACTAGTCTTCCCTTTCTTTACAGCCCACCAGCCCACCAGCCCTTCTCATTCAACACACACTTATCTGAGCACAGGCCGGGCTCCCGGCTAGGCCCCAGGGACAGGCTGCGTGGCCAGGGAGCCTCCCGGTTCCAGCCCAGGGGGAAGTACTGGGACCACCCTGTTGTTCGGTCTGACCTCCTCTGCCATGGAGCTACTACTACTGTCTGCCTCGCTTGAGTTGAGAGGCCGGAATATTCTTAAACAGAGAAAATCGTACAATGACCCGCACGCACCCATCCCCAGCTTCACGGGGTTCAGCTCCTGGCAGAGTCTGTTTCCCCACCCCCACCCCTCGCAGGTTATTGTGAAGCAAACCCCAGAGAGCTCAGCATTTGTAAATATTTCAGTAAGTATTTCTAAATGCCAAAGACTCTAAACAATATAACCATGGTATTATCTCACCTAAAAAATTAACAACAATCCCCTGACATCTTTCAAAAAATCAGTCAATGTTCACATTTCTCTAATTGCCTATTAATGTTTTATGGTTTGCTTGTTTGAACCGGGACTTATATAAGGTCTGTGCAGTGGGATATGTTTCGAGTATCTTTTAATCTATAGGTTCTCCCTGCAAATACACACCTCTCTTCATGACTTGAGTACTAGGAGAGTTAATTACTCCCAGGTGGGTCATTGTTTCCAGGACAGAGCTAGAAAACATGTAGGCTTTATTAAAGGTGAAACTCGTCATGTTACTCGGATACCTCATTCCAAACCCAGGGTTCCGGGGATTGTACCTCATGCATCTCACTCCATGTCTCCTCTTGACCACAGTGGCAAGTTCTCAAAGACGCCGGCATAATGGCTCATTTGATTTGTCCCAGAAAGACACAGAAGAGGGTCTCAGAGCAACACCATCAACGTGACCATCAGCACCACGATTCCTGAAAGCCACGCG